TACTATAAAAAGATTCCAAAGTCTGCATGTGTGTTTCTCATAAATATACATAAAATCCTTTATTAAATTACATATTACTTACCTTATATTATAAGGTAAGTAATAGGTAATGTAATTATATTATATAGCTTATATTACATATAAATGTATACAATATGTCGTTCAAGGTTCCTGGCAGACCAATTTAGTGATTAATAAATAAGTCAAAGTCCTGCCATCAAGGGGGATTGGAAAGGACAATATGAAATTATACAACCAATATAAAATACAATGATGAGCGATAGTTCGAATTTAAAAATGTAAGCAATGTCTATTGTTCCATTAAACATGAAATGAAATTGTGGTTCACCCATGGCCCATCTCTGCTCTTATGTCTCATTGATGAAATTAGATATTATGTAGGAACAGTCCAATTTTTAATCATGGTGATTGAACTCCCTCATATAAATGTATGTACATCACATATACATATTCTTCAAGAACCATCCTGGTCTGCTGAATAATCAAAAGGGAGAATGTTTTTTGTTAAAGAAAAATGTAGGTAACCTCTTACTAAAGAAAGTACTTTGTATACAAGATATTCAGTGCCTGTTAGTTGAGAGTTTGTGCACATGTACATCTGCATATTATGTCCTTGAATTATTAGTTTTGGGTAGCAGTTCATCAGAGGCCTTTAAAATGGATAGGAATGGGGTTGAACATTCAGTTCTGTGTCCTACCTGCATATATTCGGGTGGAAAACTGAAGTGGATGCGTATTCTTATTGGCCTGAGAGCTTTTCTTGCAGACTAAGACTCTAAAGTTTTAGAATTGTTCCTAATGGAAGAGAATAACATGACCCCGACACAAAAAATAAAAAAATAAAATGAAAATAGGAGCACTCTCCTCTTCAGATTTCATATCCACTCACAGGAGTGCTTCCTTAGAGTAATATGTACCATTTTAAAAAATAATGCCAACGTAAAGGTAGTCCTTGATTGACAAAAATTCATTTAGTGACCATTCAAAGTTACTTATGATCACTTTTCACATTTACGACCATTGCAGTATCACGTGACCAAAATTCAGCCACTTGGCAATGGATTCATATTTATGATGGTCACAGCGTTCTGCGATCTTGTGATCACCTTTTGCAACCTTTTGACAAGCAAAGTCAACGGAGAAGCCAAATTCACTGAACAACCACATTACTAATGCAATGATTGCTGTGATTCGCTTAACAACTGTGGCAAGAAGGGTCATAAAATGGGGCAAAATTCACTTAACCAATGTCTCACTTAACAACAGAAAGATTGGGCTCAATTGTGGTTGAGCCCAATTGTGGCTATATAGGTAGCCACAACTGGGGTCTATAGTAATAGTAATTCAGAAGTCATATGTTCATTGGGACAAGACTGTATCTTTATTGATTTAATATATGCAAATTAAGAAATGTATTAAATATTCAAAGGAAAGGTAAGCATATAATAGTACTACCCCATCTCCAGTTTATGAGGGGAGGTTTTTTTTGGAAAGTGCTAATGAAAATGGCTGTAGATCTAATCAAAAACCCTATTCAACTTTTCAGAAACCAAAAAGGGCCTTCAGTTTTTAATTTTGCCTACTGTGATAGACTCATGATATCATCTACTGAGACATTAGAGCAGGGGTGTCAAACTCAAGGCTCAGGGGCCAGATCTGGCCCACGGGTTGCTTAGAAGTGGCCTGAGGGTCTGCCCTGGACATAGTGAAGGACTGGCCCGCAATGCCTCTGCCAGCAAAAACAGAGCTTGGGAGGGCTGTGTGTGGCCCTTGCGAGCTCAGTTTATGCTGGCAGAGGGTTGCAGGAGGCCATCGCAGCTGAAAACAGAGCTCAGGAGCCCATTTTTGCTGGCAGAGCACTTGGGCCACCACAGGTGCCTCTGACACGAGTGATCTCGAGCTGGCCATGCCCCACCCTGGCCCTCCAAAATCAAACATAACCCTGATGAGGCCCTCAATTAAATTGAGTTTGACACCTCTGCATTAGAGATTTTTAAAAAGATGTTTACAGGTGCAACACTCCTCTCAGCCCCAAAATGATTACCTGTTTCCATTCTTGAGATCTCACAGTTCTTGGGATGATAGATGGTTATTAAGTCCTGATAGAAAAGAACACTTTTAGCTCAGGGTTGAACTGTGGGATCCTTGGTGCTCTCTGAGCTGGGTGGTTTTCTTACAGACATTTCATTACCATTTTAGCAATGATGATGTTAATTAGTTAGTAATAAAACATCTGTAAGAAAAACACAAAACTCAGAGAACACCAGCTATTAAGTCTTTTGAAAAAAGATAGCTCCATGATATCATCCCCAAAGGGGTTAGTAAATTTAAAATCATTGCATTGCACCCAATTTTTCTGGCAGAATGTCAGTCCAGCAAGATCCAATTCTCAGGTCCTCCCCCCCTCCAATTTTCTATTCCTCTTCAAATTTTTATTTGAGAGCTTCATTTATGGATTTTTTAAAAAAGCCTAACATTGACTTTCAGTTCTATTTCTCCTGCCGATTGCCCCCATATAAAGAAGGTAGGGAACAGCTTTTTGTTTTTATTCAAGAGCTTTAAAAAATGAGAATGTGATTTAAGAAGTATCTGGAGAAATTACAAGTTTCCCTTTTACCAGTCTACTCCTTTCAATTAAATTCACAGCAAATTATGGAGAGTGACAATGGATGGTGAAAGGAGCAATCAGATCTATTGGATTTATTCTATATGTCTACCTAAAAAGTTGTGTTCAAATGTAATTTGCTTTTTGATTGAAAAGTTTTTAAAAATCACCCCAAAAGAGGGTAAGATAAAAATACTCTATTTAAAAAAAAAATGTTCAGCTCTGATATTAGGTTTTCAGAAGTTAGATATTTCATCTTCCTGAAGTCTTAATATCAAATAAAACTATCCAAATAGAATCATGATTCTTTTTTTTTACAATAAGTTTCCAGAAGTAGGTAGAAATTTGAAATATATAAAGTAGTCAATCCTATGCTACTGAATAGTGGGTTATGTTTTTAAAGACAAAACTTACATGCATCAAAGATGCCATTTATAATTAACTCAGCGTTTGCAGAAGAATAGGGTGGACAGAGCAATCTTTATTAAAAGCTTTTAGTAGGCAATTCTTTCCTAACATATACCTAGTAATCAAATGGTTATAATCAAGAAAGGTAAATCTGTGCTTAATGGGATCATCATAATAAAATAACGGATTTAGCATTGATGAAGACAAAGAACCCTGGAATTCATAGACACATCCTTTCATGGTTAACAATGCTTCCACTTCCAGACTTTTATGAGTGAATATTGGATATATATTAGGGAATAGCTTGGCACCCTAGAGGTGGAGCTCTTTTCACACAATCAGGAGGCTGTGAGTTTGATCCTAGGTGAGTTTGATCCTCTCTGGGTGCAAAGAGAAAATATCTGCTGCAAACTCCACATAGGCATCAGGAGGGCATCTGGCCAGTAAACGCTCAGCTCCATCCTGATGCAAGGGATTATAAGGTCATTAAAAAATGCATATGTATTGGAAATTAAATTGAAAATACTGGGGTTTGTCCCTCTACTGTCATCATCAGGGTAAATAAAATAAAAAAAGCTGCAGTCAGGATAAGTTGAAACCTCTTTGGTTCACATACACAACCAGGCACATATCCTACAGGTAATTACTGTCTGTTTCACACAAGGAAATAGAACATGTTGGCGGAAATCATATACGATTAATGTCATTTCATTTATTTAGGTGTCCTTTTGCCCTACCTCCCATTCTTTGACCATTTTTTGCACTGTATTGTATTAAATGGGAAAGAAGTCAATTATACTAGATACAGTTTCAAAATAAGTGAGAGGAAACTCTAAAGTATTTTGGTGGGTGTTTAATACAGTTTATTGTCAATATTTGTGTCTAGGTTTATAACCAGCAAAGTAGTTGAATAATGGATTCAGATACAATTGAGGTGGAAAGGAAAGGAAACAGAAAAAAAGTTTTTGTAGTATCTGTCTTCTTTGTTTCAGATTCATGTCCATCACGCTGACACTTTTCCAACTTTCAGAATGGCTTTTATATTAATTTCTGTAAATGAAATAATTTTTCCTAAGATAAAACATCCTGTATATTGCAACTGCAGAATGAGTCAATGAAATATTTCATTTATCATCATTCTGACACATCCATCTAATCTATTGGTATTTCTGCTGTGGTCTCAAAACCAAGACGATTTGAATAAGCTATTTTTCCATCTCTATGTTTTTTAACCAAATTATTCATGTTCACTGAATGAACAATCTACAATCACAAGTGACTGGGAGGGAGGGAAGGAGGGAGGGAGGAAGATTTTTGTTTTTTCAGTGCAAATGTATGTATTTACCTCCAGATATAAAAAAAAATTGTAAAAATATTATTTGAATGGCTGCTTTGTTTAATAATTGATTTTACTTTATCAATTAACTTAACCACAAAGGGGGGGGGGAACCTTGAATCTTAATGTCTGAATATAAATTAATACCTCCCTCTTTCTATTTTCTCCCTCCAATGTATGTGTGTGCATAATTGCATTTAGAAACTGTGCTTGAGTCTTTATATACTAAAGAACAATCAGATGGTGTGTTTATATATAGATGTGTTGATACTAGATCATTTTTTGAAAAATATCTACATTTCCATAGAGTTAATTAAAATCAATAGCAAAAAACTTGCAAAATAATAGAAATACTTCTGGGCTATTGTTCTTTGTGTTAGATATTGAGCCAAGTTTCTTGATAAATAGCAGAAAACTATTTAAGAGGATCCTCTTACTAAGTATCATGGAATGGTGTCCTTTGATGACTTTCATCTATAGATGTTAATTTGTTGACTGCAACCTAGAACTCCAAGATTCTTTTCCTAAATTGATACCAACTATGGTGTTTTATATGAGCATGTTCTCTAGAATAAAAGGATTTTCTTCTGCAATTAAAATTCTTATCATTCTACCTTTCTTGCTCAACAGGAGGAGAAGTTCCCTATACCACACTGGCAACTCGAATGATGATGGGCGCCTGGTGGTTGTTTGCCTTGATCGTCATCTCATCCTACACTGCAAATCTAGCGGCTTTTCTCACCATCACTCGTATTGAGAATTCCATCCAGTAAGTTTGCACAAGCTTGGGAGTAAGAGTCAACCACGAGCTGGAAAACCTCTTTGGCCAAAATTGAAGCCTACCCAACCAGAATCAGTGTCGAAATAGAAGTAGGCTGAGCCCAAGGGAGGGTTCAAACATGTCATCAGCCTTGAGTCCCTTCATGCCCATCTAAGCAAGGGTGGGGTTCTACTGGTTCAGACCGGTTCAGGCAACTCGGTAGTTCCGGTGAGCATTTGGGCCCACCCACCTGCCCCTGCTTTTTCCTGTGCTTTGTTTCCTGGTTTTTTAGCACAGCTAATTCGCAGAGCGATTTGCCATGCATCAATTGTTTTACTCACCAGGGATGTAGCGGAAGGTAAGTAATTGAGTTGAAAATGGGCTTTTTTAAATGTAGAGGACACACCACTGGATCTAAGTCCAAGCCATCTTGAATTCTGTTGACTCTTATAATACCAATTTGCTTTGACCATTAGTATTTCAGATCCTTACAGAGAGAGTTAGCATGCAATAAACCTGTTAGCGATTTGAACTGCCTTACATGAACATTCCACCTCTCTTACCTTTCATTCCCATTTCTATACTTTTTAAAATAAGACTAATCATAGTGAAACACACACACACACACACACACACATACACACACAAATAAGTCTGGCCGGTAAATATGGCTGATGGTTTCCTGCACCCATCATTTCAAAATAATAGAATAACAAAATTTGGAGGTCTTCTAGTCCAACCCCCTACTCCGGCAGGAAACCCTAGACCAGGGGTTCCCAATCTGGGGTGCCCACACCCCCTGGGGGTGCAAGATGATATTCCAGGGGGTGCGAGAAAAGTCCAGGTAAATAATAGGATATTGGCTATATGTTGGCATTTTTATTTATTATGCAATGGATTAACTTTGTTTTCATTTTAGAGTTAAGTATCGTTATTTAGTGGCCGTCACATACATAGCTGAAAAGATTTTATCCTACCATATATTTAACGCGTTCAGTAGTTCCTAAAGTCTAAATTTCAGGGGGTGCGAGGTTCGAGTGAAATTTCTTTAGGGATGCAGGGTGAAAAAAAGGTTGGGAACCACTACCCTAGACAAATGGTTGTCCAATCTCTTCTTAAAAGCTTCCAGTGTTGGAGATGCCACAACTTCTGGGAACAAGTTGTACCACTGATTAATTGTTCTAAGTGTCAGAAAATTTCAATAGTTCCATACTTAATCTGGTATGACCAGGGGTGGGATTCTACCGGTTCTGTCAGCTCTACAGAACTGGTAGCACTGAAGAACAGCAGCACCGGTTCTGTGTCTGCTGCTGTTTTGGACCATCCGCCTGCCCGGGTTCTTACCTGTCCTTTATTTCCTGTCTTTTTCAACCACAGCTGCTTTGCGCAGCACAGCTGCAGTTAAAAAAGCAGAAAAGCAGGGCTTTTCCAACCGCTGTGCACCTGTATGCAGCGCTGCTCAGCTGTCCGGGCAGCTCAACAGGTCGTAAATTGCACTTGAGCGACTCACACATGCGCACGCGTTGCAAAGCAATAGGACCAGTAGTTATACTGGTCGGATCCCATTCCTGGGTATGACCCTAGACTATATTCTCAGATATAGCATTTCAACGAAGGTTCTAAATAGCACCTTGAGACAGGATTAGATTATGAGCAGTGATTATAGTGGTAATGTTGGGGACAACAGTAGAATCCCTGTTGGGTTTCTTGCTTTGTTTCTTTTATTTATTTTTTCCTTCCCTTTTTCTAATAACAGAGGGAAAGGAAAACAAAGACTCTCAGAATGGCTGGTGGTCTCACCTTATCTGCTGGGAGGTGAAAGGTTTTCTGTCTCTCACAGTTTTACTACTTTTGACCACTGTTTTACTGTCTCTGTGGGGGAGAACACTCCTCTTCTCCTAAGGGCAGCTCCATTTACTCTGAACTGCCATAGGACTATCAAAGTCCCTGCCAGGGGACAGGAGAGAAATTATTTGTTCCCTAAAATTGCAGTTATTCCCCAAACAGAAAGCATGCGTAGGCATTTTCTCTATCTAATGTCTCTTTTTTGTGAAAAGTATATCCTGCATCTTTATTATTGATCTTTGCAGACCTTAGCAAACCTGCAAGCAAGAGACAATATAACAATTCAAGATGGTCTGGGTCAGCATTTCTCAGCATGGGCAACTTTAAGAGGTGTGGATATCAACCCTCAGTCTTCTCTAGCCAACATGGTTGGCCAGAGAAATCTGGGAGTTGACGTCCACGCTTCTTAAAGTTGCTAATATTGAGTAATACTGGTCTAGGTGTAACCATGGTCCCTCCTCCTATGAAATTAAGATTCCTCTCCCTTCAACTCCTTAAACTGGGAATGCTGTGGCTCTGTGGCTAAGACACTGAGCTTGTCCATCAGAAAGGTTGGCAGTTCAGCGGTTCGAATTCTTAGCACTGCATAATGGAGTGAGCTCCTGTCACTTGTCTCAGCTTCTGCCAATCTAACAGTTCAAAAGCATGTAAAAATGCAAGTAGAAAAATAGGGACCACTTTGGTGGGAAGATAACAACGTTCTGTGTGCCTTCAGCATTTAGTCATGCTGGCCACATGACCATGGAGACATCTTCAGACAGCGCTGGCTCTTTGGCTTTGTAATGGAGATGAACACCACCCCCGAGAGCCAGAAACAACTAGCACATATGTGCGAGGGGAATCCTTACCTTTACCTTTTATCCTTCAACTCCCTAAACAAGGAGCACAATGGCTCTTGTGGTTAGGTGTTTGTTGGAAGTTAGCAAGACCATGTTTGAGACCCAAATGCTGCTGTGAGGTGGGATGAGCCCTCATCCTTTGCTCCTGCTCCTGCTCCTGCCAAGAACATAAAAGGAGGCTTCAACTGTATATCCCACAGACAACAATCATGTCACTGGCTAATCTTTTCAACCTAGAAGCGCCTGGGTACTTCTGACATGAGTGTAAAACTCCCTAAATAAATGCATTCTATTTTCTTATACCACAGTTCTCATTAGACTGAATATCTCTGGAAAACCTTTGAATATCTCTGGAAAGCCTTTGAAGCCTTTGGCAAATGGCTATTTATCGTGTGATCTTTGGCTCTGATTACTGCAACTGAATTCCAATAAATTTATTATTTTTTCCAAAAGGAAAATGAACTGTCCTTTCTACTGTTAATTGATTTATCCAAATCTCTAAGCCACCCAGCAATCATTCAAATGTGTAAGCCACCCAGACAAGGCAATTCTTTTTTGTAATTCTTTTTGTGCCCTGTCTGTTTGGGCTGTATTAGAATTAATTCACATAACCATATAACTATAGAAAAAAACAAAAGGAGAATAAAATTGCTTAGACAAAGCTTTATATGAATAAATGAATGTGTCATAAATAAATGTGCTTTAGAATAAGCAATTAGATGTTCATCCTCATTATTGAATGACTAATTGTCTCTGTGCAGATAGTTTCCAAGTTATAAGACAAACTTATTCATTCTGCAGGCATGTTGTTGTTTTATACATGCCACTGTAATACATAAACTTAAATGCACTATTTCTTTTGGGGTGAATTGTTTTAATCTCTGTGAAACAAAGCCTTTACAATCTGATGAGAGCTATATTGTGCAATTACAAATTGTCAGGAGCTAAATTAGTTTGTATGTTTTTGTTCTTGTTTTGTTGTGCTCTTATTAAAATGAAATGCTCCTGAGTTTCTAATACCCAGCATCCCAATCTTATGAGCCATTTCAATTGCAAGGCTCAGATCACAGTTGCTTAAGCAACATCCCTAAAATATGAAATAAGCAAATGGAAATAAATCAAATGGAGCTGGCACCATTACATTAAGATTCCAACAATTCTTTAAGACATGCAATATCACAAATATTAGCCATGTTAATCTTTATTTTCTTTACACACATATACTTCAATGGAAGAAAGACTAATCTGTCAGGATCACAGGAACCTGAAATAATCAGTGTGTTCCTTTTTACGCAGCGCATAAAAATATTTATCTTCCTTTTCTCATCACAAGCTGGCATTCTGTCTCTATAACCTTAGAAGTTAGATCCAAAACAGAAATAATTAAGTAAAGGGACTAAAATAATATTTGCTCTTGTGGGGAAAGTTTTCCCCCAACTATGCTGCCAGTTATATGAAGAGAAGAAAGAGAAAGAGAAAGAGAGGAGAAGAGAGGAAAGGAAGAGGAAAGGAGAGGAGAGGAGGATATTGTGTGCTACCAAGTTAGTGCTGAGTCTTGGCAACCACAGAGATAAGGTTTTTCTGTGATGATCTATCTGTAACTTGGTCTCTAAGGTCTTTAATAGCGTGCCTAGCTTCTTGGACGAGAAACAAAACATCTTCAAAGAAAAACAAAGAAGTCCAGTTGTCTCTTGAAAAAGCACCTTTGGGACAGCCACGACCTAGATGACTGAAAAACTCCATTGACTACTGACAAGAACTAACATCTCAGTCAGGTGACAGCTGTAACCAGCAGGCATTCACCTTGTGCAGTAATTGTATCTCTTTCTGAGCTGAAATAACAGAATAACAGAGTTAGAAGGCATTTTGAGGGTCTTCTAGTCCAACCCCCTGGTCAGGCAGGAAACCCTACATCATTTCAGACAAATCTCTTGTCCAATCTCTTCTTAAAATCTTCCAGTGTTGGAGCATCCACAACTTCTGAAAGAAAGCCATTCCTCTGATAAATTGTTCTCAGTGTCAGGAAGTTCTTACTTCTTGGTTGCTTCTCTCCTTGATTAGCTTCCATCCATTGCTTCTTGGCCTGCATTCAGATCCTTTGGAGAATCTGATCAATTGTTCTAACTGTCAGGAAATTGTGAGAAATGCCTTCTCACAATCACTTGTACCATGACCATCTGTCTTTTGGACAATTACAAGGCATTCTACATGGTGCTACCTTTGAAGATCACTAGAAAACTACAAGTAATCCAGGAGGCAGGAACTAGTTATGAACATGTCTTATTTTGTCCATATAACACCACTAGTCTGTGAACTGAACTGGTT